TGCGCGGCCCCCGCCCCGCCCGTGCTGCCTGTCCCGCCCTTGCTGCCTGCCCTGCCCATGCTGTCTGTCCCACCCATGCTGCCTGTCCCACCCATGCTGCCTGTCCCGCCCGTGCTGCCTGTCCCACCCATGCTGCCTGTCCCGCCCGTGCTGCCTGTCCTGCCCATGCTCCCTGTCCTGCCCGTGCTGCCTGCAGCCCCAGGGAGCTCCCGCCCAGCGTGGTCCTTCAAGACAAGACCTAAAGTGGCGGCCGGGGGAGCCCTCCCCCACCTGGGGACACCCCGGGAGATGGGGACGCTTGGGAGAGCGTGGGCGCAAGATGTCCGTCTGCCTGACCCGCGCTCCCTCCCCGGCAGCAATCCCGCCTGGGGCCTTCGGGACACGGCACTGCTGCGGCAGCTGGCTGAGGCCAACGGGCTGCGCCTGGAGAGGATGGTAGGTGCTGGGGTCTGCGGGGGGACGGTCCCCGCACCGGGGGGGACCCCCTGACCCCCGGCTCTGTGCTTCCAGGTGGATATGCCGGCCAACAACAAGAGTCTCATCTTCCGCAAGCAGTAGCCGGCCCCGACGGCATCTCCCGGCATCTCCCAGTGCCTTCCCGGCATGGCTGCCCCCCATTGACGCCTCCTCAAGGGGTCACGCTGTCCCCGTGCTCGTGCCAGCCAGGGCTGGGGACGGCAGTGACGGGGTGGTGACCCACTCGCCCTGGCTGGAGCTGGGCTTGGCTCCGGGGGGGTCTGTCTCCCCCGGCCCCCTCGGGGCTCCCTTTGCGATGGGGTGCCCCAGCCTGGCCCAGAGAAGCCACCACAGCTGCCATGGGGGGCACGGGCGGGGGGACAGCACCTCTGGCATGGCGGAGACTTCTTGGTTGGTGCTGGTTTCCCCAGAGGATGCCGTGCCAATGGCGGGGGTCCCGTCCCCCTTTCCCCACCCCGGGGACCCCATCCCTGCCACCAATAAACTCTGGGGCTTTGCAGCTCCCTGATGCTTTCAGCGCTGATGCTGGGGGGGGGGGGCGGGGGGGCGGCCCCCACCCCCCC